GTAGTTCGCTCCACACTGAGTGCATTGAACCACTCTTTGAGCCCAGCACGGCCACAGGGATGTTGCGTCCCATCTCCTCCAGCAACAAATAACTGTCACCTGAAGCCAGTATGGACGAGATATTGAGTAAGAGACAGGCAGGTACATTGTCAGCATGCACATCAAGCGCAGCCATCCCAAGGATATGAAGCAACAACCAATCATTTGAAACGACAAAATGAAATAAAATAAATCCAATAATGCATACATATATGCTAACATGACAGTTCGCTAAATGAGCATAAACAGTCAATTAGTTAAAAACAAATCAGCTGTAAGTTAAGGACGTCAGAAAAGCTATTTTATGAAAATACCACAAAGGAGCAACTCTTGTCGAAGTTAAGTAAAGTAGTGCAAGTAATCTCTGTAAGTTTACACAGAATAGATTAGGTAGACATTAATATGAGATAAAAACGAATTAGGACAATAAAGCAAATACAGCACCTGCAATAAGTAGACTCAGCGTGCAAGCGCGCGGTTATTAAATCGAATACAGCTTACCTACAAACAATGCACCAGTTCTGCCAACTTTCTCAGCAAAACCCGTCTTCGTTTCGTTGTTGGACCCGAGTTGCCTCGCTCATGGTTCACTAGGCCTATCTGTCGGGCATTCGCAACTGCACGTTTTAGAGCACCATGTGCTCGACGTTGATGGAGCGCAACCCATCTTCGCCTGTCGCTTCCGCAAATGCCGCTTCTTCTCTGCATGCAAGTAGGATTACTCATCCACCTCGGCAACTGCGTTCGTGATCAGATTGTGCCATGCACACCGAGCAACCGCCTTCAGTTCCTATTACTTACAATCAAGATAAGAATTTGAGAAGCTCAGTTTGATCATGTCCTGGTTACGAAGTTTTGCTTTCCCATATCCGCTTCCCCAAACTCAGTTGATCATTTGATAGCTGCTTTGGTATCCGCGTCCATTCCATACACAATATATGACCGGGCCACCTTAGGTTCTCAGCAATGTATGCAGTTCACGGCATACATTCCACTTAGGCCCAACAATCTCATGTCCGAAACCAATGCGCAGAATCCGTCGCAAAACTTTTGATGGAAACGCTCGAGATATCGAACATCCAGCCGGTACATAGACTAAGTTTCACTGACATATAGAAGAATGGACAGCACTATGGATTTGTACACCATTAGCTTCGTACCAACAATAAATTGGTAGTTGTTTTTACACTTGGTACTCTAGCTTCCCGAAAGCTACTGTTGCCTGCGGGAAGCTGATGCTTAGCTCACAGTGTGGTTGCTTGTTAGTCGGCATCACACTCACAATCTAGCAGAAGCGCAAGTTGGTTTCTAATGTTCCATTTCCAGCGCTGATGCGCGACATCTGTAGCCGGCAACTCCGGTGCAGGCACGCTATAATATACTATATATGCATACATATATAAAGATATGTATATTCCTCCTGCCGATGGATGGCTTTCTTTCAGCCGGCATCTAAATCGCAGTTAAAGTGATGGCCTGTCTGATCTGTTTTTTCCATAAGCACAATTAAACGCAAGCCATTATTTGAAAACTTGTCCATTTTCAGATACACTAGACACAGGTTTTGCAAACTTTATGTGGAACGGAGAACTATTTCTAACACCACATTTTAGTTTAAAGTAAGTGCAAGCATTAAGACCCGAAAAGGCAGTGGAATATGAATTTTGCTTTTTCAGCAGCATTGGATGCCATCAAGGAGTGTTCCTCGGAATCGTTCAAACAAAACCTGGAGATGAACTATTAATATTAAAGCCTCAGAAAACGATTAAAGTATAATGTTAAGAAAATATTATATTTATCATTTTGTTAACAAGTATCGTCATCAAGGTTATACATGTCAGATAGAGGTGGGAAACACCGCTATCGTGCCGCAATACATAAAGGAAATACACATACATACATACAGTACATAAAGAAAAAAATAAATACAACTGTTGCACGCAGGCTGAGGTACGCGCAACGGATAGGCATCGTTCCGGTAAGCTACCAGCCGGCTGCTAGGCAAAAAGAAAATAAGTATTATGTTTTGCGCTGCGAAATGAGACCGTAGATGGAGGGAGAGGCTAAAAGGGATAGGGATGGACAAAGAAACTCACAGCAGGAACGCCACTGAGGTCGGCTCCTTGCCATGTCAGCAAGTGTATCCAACCAAACATGTTCACAGTCTTTTGGCCCCCACCAGGGAGCCGTGACGCTCCAACCGTGGCCAGCTCAGAAGTGACGGACTTCATTCCTCTGGACCAAGTCATCGCTTGGCCACCTCTCCTCTTCTTTCATCCACATCCTCGGTGAGCAAACAACGCACATCGAGGGAGTCGGTGGGCTGGCATGCGTAACACGTGGCCCAGCCATCGGAGCCTGGTGTATGAAATAACGGTGCTGAGAGGTTCATTTCCTTCTTCTGTGCCGTAAATAAGGCGTCGAACACGCTCGTTTTTACTCACGCGGTGTTCCCACTAGATGTGAGCCAAACTGCGAAGGCACCGATGATCCAACGTAGCTAGCCTCGTCATGTCCGCCGATCTTAGGGGCCAGATTTCGCAACCGTACAGTAAGGTCAAACGCACCGTTGCATTGTACACTCTACCCTTCAGGGCGAGAGTAATGTCGCGCCGCCGCCATAGGTGGCGAAGGTTAGCAAAAGCACTTCAAGCTTTTACTGTAAGGTTCGTGATCTCGTCTTCGATCGCATGGGCGCTGATACGATTTACAGCTAGTTGAATTTCCGAACGACTTCTAGCTGATCCCCACCAAGGGTTAGTGCAAGAGGCGATCCCTGCCAATCATGTAGGAACGCTTTGCATTTCGATGGTGCGAAGCACAGCCCGAAGTGACGGACAGCTATTGCTAATCTGTTCAGCGCGGCTGGGCACGTCTGGGAGCTGTCACAGATGAGGGCAATGTCGTCTGCATACTTCAAGTCAAGAAGCCGTTCTCCTGAGAGTTCCTGCACACCTTCCAAGTCAAGTACTGTAAATGTCAACTCCATGGTTTCGTCAATAGCAAAGTTGGGGAGGAAAGGCGACAGCGGGCATCACTGTCTTACACCGCTGGAGATATTAAATGGTGGCGACGGCTTGCCGTAAACCCTCACTATTCCTGTACTGCGTGCATATAATGCTAGGATAATATTAACATATTTCTCGGGCACACCTTTCCTGAGTAGACAATTCCAAAGGGCACGTCGATCAAGCGAATCAAAGTCACCTTTGATGTCGAGAAACACGACTACGGTGGGCCGCCAATATGTGTGACGGTGCTCCAACAACTGACGCAAGGTGAAGATGTGGTCGGTGCAGCCACGACCACGACGAAACCCGGCTTGCTCCTCATGAATCTGGCTTTCACGAGCGCCAGTCAGACTGTGAAGAATTATGGGGGAGAGTAATTTGGAGGCGATGGAGATCAGACTGATTCGTCTATGGTTGTCGCTTTCAGAGCACGAGCCGCCTTTGAAGATGGGAACATTAACGGAGCGGCTCCAGTCGGTTGGGACAGTCTCCTGCTCCCACAGTTTTACTAGTAATTCATGTAAAGCTTCAACAAGGGCAGAGCCTCCGAAATTGAAAAGAGATGGATGAAGATCATCTAGTCCCGCGGCTTTGTTCAACTTCACCCTTCCGATCTCAAGTTCGACTTCTGAGCAAGAAAATTGATCCAAAGCGACAGCCCACGGAGCAGGGCAATCATTGGCAGGCAAACAGTCGAACAATTCCAGCCGATTAAATTGTTTTTCAAAATGCTCAGCCCAACGCTCTAAACGTTTTAACAAATTGTGCATAGGCTGTCCACTCTCATCACAAATTGTTTCATTGACACCAGATCTTTTGCAGCCCTTTTCCCGTATCAGACGGAAAAACTTGCAATGGCTGCCAATGGCAGCAGCCACTTCCATCTCTGACGCAAGATGAGACCACCAAGATTTGCGGTCTCTCTTCAGGCTAGCACCGAGTTTTGCCGGGAATTCTTTGCGTGATTCATTGTATTCGCTTCCAGCCGGGATATGCCGGCGAGCATCGATAAGTCAAAGAGCCCGAGAAGACAGCTAATGTCCATGTTGGCTATTAGACTTATCACATGAGGATTTGCCTGCTGCTAGTACGGTCTGGCGAACATGTGACCAGTGGCCATCAATTGTTTCCAGTGAGCGCTTACTCAACTCGCATGTCAGCGTACATCGATACGCATTCAGAACAGCTGATTTTTTCATTTGGCTGGTGGCAGTGCCCTCACAGCGTCGTCGTCGGCGTCCGCCAAATGGCGTCTGCATGTCAGCACATCCAAGTGCATGATCGGTGTCTACACATGTGCCCCAAATCGAGCGACACTTCTGGATGCAGCCTCTCTGTTAATAATTATAGCTTCAAAAAGTCAATGTGTGAAAAGTGCTTCTACATTGGGAAAGAACACCACTTAATTACCTTAAGTTAGTGGAGCTATACTCGACACAAGAAAAGAAACAAATTTTTGTTAACAAATTCCATCAATCTTAAACAAGGAAACCTAGGCAAT